AGAATATTGCGGCTATAGCCCAAAGTCTTGAAGAAAACCCGGGTTTGCCCACTCCTCGTCGTTCTTTAGAATGGAGCATTCCACAAATGTTATTACATCGTATTTCCCTAAAGACTGGGATCTTAAAGCTCAGTTAATATAAGAATTCAAGCCAGCCGATCATCAACTACGTCGTTTCTTTGCTGAGGTTTCTTTTTGGGTCTTTGAAATGCATGAAAATGATCCGGAATTTCATCCAAAAACCGAATTCTACGACAAAAAAGAAACTATCGCATCTGAGGCTCGGAAAACTCAAGATTTATTGCTAAAAATCCTGACTTTCCTCAAGGTGTAACTGTTTGGATCGGTTTATGATCCGGACGGCTCATTGAACCTTACTTTTTCGTAAATGACACTGAAGCAACAGTTACGGTGAATGCCCAGCGCTATCATCGGAACTGAGTGGTATTAGACTGAACAGTCTTTATTTCCAAAATAACGAAACCATTGATTTTTTTAAGGAAAACTTTTCCGGATTATGTCATCTCAAAGGCTTCTTCCTTTGGGGCTGCGTGAAATATAAGATCCACGCCAACAAGTCAAAGTCAATTTAAGACCTTAAAGATGGAATTCGTGAAGCTATTGAAGTCATTCGGCAGCCACTTGGCGATTTGTTGAGGGACAATTTTATAAAAAGGACATGATTCTGTAAGCGTAGCCATGGCAGCCGTTTGGCTGATATTGTTTTCAATTATTAATGGCATACGAGTATATTCCAATTTGAATTGAAATAAACATCCGATAATGAATCTCGAAAATTTCCATTTTTCTTTTGAATATCAAAATATCACCTCTTATTGGCAAACCCTATGTAATTAACCCTCAAGTTGTTCCTTATAAATCTACGTCCCACATAACTACAAATATAAACTCATTGAATGAAATTTTTGCGCAAAGGCAAAACTCACACATACTCATATACATGAATGAATGAAAGAAGTCCAAATAATGGAAATTTGATAGCCAATAAAATGTGTGAATGATTTGTAAATTTCTCTGTCGGCCGTTTATTCAAGCGAGCGTTTATTGCGAATGACTTTTATTGATATTTATTTCGATTTTATTTCATTAATAATGGCACACGACGAAAAGCGTGGGACAAAGTATTAGGCAGGATGTGTGATGCCTTGCAGGTAGCAGGTGAAATGTCCCACTCACAAAGAGGGTAAGTAAGGTATTTTTGTACCTGTACGTGTATGTGCGGCTATCGTGCGTGTAGGCGGTATTGACCGTTGACTTCCAGTGAATTAGATGGCAAGTCAACCATTCATTTATTGACTGACATACCCGGTGGCTGTTGGGGGAGTTGTGTGCTTTTTGCTGTAAACGCTGTAATTAAAGAGCCTTTGGCTTTCACTACTTTGGCTATAATTAAAGCGTCTCGAGGCGATTTTATATTGTTTCTTTTAATTACAAGTTTTTTATATTTGTGTGTAGTTATTTATAAATTTACTTTTCGATTTATTGAATAAGAAGTCAAAGAGCGAAATTATTCCAATTAATTTATTACTTGATTGATTGGTTGAGATGGTTGCCGGATATCAGCTCACTTATGTCACCAATAGAATAGTCCCTATAAGAAGACCTATAAGCGTTAATATATCCTTTCTCTTCAACTCAGTAGAGTAACGTAACCTCTTACTATTCCATTCTGGCATTGAGAATTTTCCATCTTTTTTATTCTTTTATAATGAGCTTGCAAATGAAGAGCGCCATGCCCATACCCTACCATAATGGCGAAAATAGAAGGGAAGTGGTCTTCCTTGAAAGCTCGGCCGCCATCTCGTTACCCAGCGTGTTACTGTGTCCAGGCACCATCACACACCAGGTTCAAAGAGAACTGTTTGGCTATCACATTAAGTGAACTGCGAACTGCGACAGTTCTTTACGGTTTTCGATTATACTGTTACAGATTCCAGAACCCGGATATCCGATTTTCTGTGAGCACCATTGGGCTGTGGCAGCTGACAACTTCATGTTTAGCGACCAATTCCGCCTGAAAAACACTACAGTGATCTGGTAAACGAAAGGAGTTGCTAATATCACCAACTCTAGTTCTGCCTCAATCATATAGAGATGAATCGAATCGGCGTCTTTTCTGATAGACGGAACCTTTTTAAGATTGGTTTATTAATATTCATTCGGAATACATCTGTGAAGAGATTGATAACCTCAGTTGGTGTGATACGAAGTACTCCGCTAATACACAGTTGCGTAGTGCTGGGTAGCTAATTACAACTCCATGGCGAAGTATAGGCTCAACAACTGCAACATAAAGCCAACACACCATTTTAGGTGACATGCCCTGATTTGCGTTCTGTCCCACCTTTGCAGCTAAAGCGGGCAATTAAGCGTCTTTTCCTAAGAACCCTTTGACTAGCTTAATGTCGTGTCTGGAATGAGTCCCAGATATTTTACAGACTCAGTAATGCGCAGCTTCATTCCTTAGAGCAATGGTGTTGATAACTTTAGAATTTTATATATCCTAGTGAAGAAAACAAGTTCCTTTTTCTACGAGTATATACGTAATCCAGCATCAATAGCCCACTTTTCAATCCACCTCAGTCCGTCCTGCATGACATCACATGAAGTTTGTGGGAAGTTGCATACGCTATGCTCTTGCAGCCCTCTTCTTGTCCATGTACCTTAGCTGTTGGTTAATAGCAAAAAAAATCCTAGAAGAGACGAGAGGACTCAACCTTGTGAAATTCTTCCGCCGATATGACCTAAATGCCGTTATTCCCGCAAACTCAGATCTTATGGCTCAGTATTGCTCTAGGGCGCCCTGGTATGAAAATCTCGTATAGAATACCATTGGAGCGATTACAGCGAGTCGCTGCAATATCTATAACAGCAACGTTAAGGACCACACCAGCGGCGGCACTTCAGAAGTTATTTGGCCCATAACCAATCAACATCCCAGTGGAGAGCACTGCAGCAAAGCCAGCCAAAAGATTGATGACCTTAGGTGATCGGATCCAGCTCTTTATTTAGAATAGAGCGTTTAAAGCAACATTTAACGAAGGCGAATGACACAAGAATATGTGACTCCCCAGTGAAATGTATAACATCCACATGGTTGGATGAAAAATGGTGACGTGGATGTCAGTAGTCAGAGCGGTCGAGGGTAAACAACTGTCAAAATAGAATAGCTTATAAAAATGTCGCTGATCTACAACGAAGTTTTCAAAAGAGTTAGGTGCGGCATCAGAATGAGATGGAACGCATAATCAGCATGCAAAACCACCAAGATCACGCGTAGTAGCAGCAAAGGGCACTCACGTTTCTTACTTATACGTTTGCGTGAGGACTGCAGCAACGTTGTCGGGCTAAACGTTACAACCAGTTGCAGGAAGTGCAAGGAGAAAGACATGAGTGAGACATTAGAACACGTCCCATGTTTCTGTCTCTCTGTCCGACTTTAGGTGTAGATATCTGGTAGCTTTACAGCTTAGAAAAGGCAAGATTAGTCTGAGTAATCGAAGTCATCTAATGGGAGCTGTTTCGACGGATTCGTACGGCGTTGGATGGGTACGTTTTAAGGGACATGGAAGGAGGTAGTTAGTGTTGTGCAGGGTTACATAGCATACGGGGCATAACACAATGTGGATAAGTAGGAGTAGGAGAGAAGTTGGCTACAGTACACAAAACCTAATTGTGAAAGTGTTGCTTCGGACTTTCCAACTCTTTATCTACAATGGGTGGTGATTGAATTCCGACAATGCTGTTCACTGGAGAAAAGTTCAAGAGGGTTTTACCGGACTTTCGATGAACGGTATTTAAAATGAATTGGCTTACAGCTGTTCAAAAACGTGGTGTAAAATGAAATTATTGTAGTCGAGTACTCCCTTCCTGATGTGTCTAAGATCTAGATCATTTGATCATTAGATGATTTCGTTTGATGGTCCTAAAGGTGGTATTTTGACAAGCTTGTGGCTTCTTCATCTGCATCTCGGTAGTGCCCGGTATCCAAATCGAAGCACCGGTTGCCAGCAATGATTCTTTACCATATTTTTAGGTCCTCTCTGCTAAGGCTTTGGAGGATTTTGTTGCAGCGTTGGAGTTTTGATATCAGTCGTATGGTGAGTAAAGGGGCTCACAGAAACTTCGGGTTCTTGGTTGTCGAAAATTTTAGGCCTATGACTTTCACATCAAGCTTGAGCTGGTACTTCTTCGTACATCTGGTGGCCAAGGTTCCAGCTGTTATTGTAGTGTGGGAGAGATCGGCAAGATAGCAGTTTACTTTCGCACTTAAGTTATCAATATCCTGGCCTAACACCAATATCGCACAAACATCGGTATACGAGATATCGTAAGAGATCAAAAATACGATCTTTGGTGGAAGAGGGATTTTTAGATGTTGGACTCCAATGTTACAGATAACCGTAACTTAAGATTTTAATAGAAATATCTTAGAACCAGTTTTTAATTTTCAAGAACTTGTCACCGTTAGCATCCCTTGATCGTTTTCTACTCTAACCAGTTCCACTGAGACGTCACCTTCGTCGTTAGACTACCAATCTGTACACAAATCAATCCAAGAAGCATGCTGTAACTGTATTCTAATTTTAGAATGAACTAAAAAATTAAGAAAACAATACAAATTTTATGTAATTGTTTTATTTATTTTATTTTTTTATCGCATATTACTTAATTCTATTTATTTAATACACAATGATACGAAATATTAATGAAAATACAGAAAATTCTTATAAATAATATAAGTAGATATGTATGCATGTGCGTATGTGCGTATTGTGCTAACGGTCAATTGAGAGATTGAAATACTATAGTAACAAAAAGAACACAAATAGGAAATAAAATATTTATTTATAATAAAAATAAACAAATACAAAAATTTGAGGGAAAAGAAATACAATGCATGTATATGTAATTGTTTGTTTGTAATTAATATTAATATTTATTTAAAATGTGTGCATGTATGTAAATGCTGTAATAAGTATGCGTACATATCTATACGTACATATCTATAAGTGTATGTGTGTATGTAGATACAGAGTGTGGGAAAATATTCAGAAGTAATCATACCTTTGTACTTTTTTACTTCCAAATAAATTTATGTATGAATTTATGTTTGTATGTATGTAGTATGTAGACGCTTGGTAGATGTATCAAGTTGTATATGCCTGTGTGTATTAACATGATTTAACTAAAATAAAATAATAATAATAATAAAGTGTATAAATAAAAATACAAATTGAAATTATGTTGAACATAAATACAAATGTACGGTTTTAGGTATATATGTAAGTATAATATACACGTATATATATTATATATAGATAGTGTAAATTAAATTAAACTTAACGAAAAAGACGAAAAAGCAGAATAATACAGCTTCATCTTGTGAAAAATGTAAATAAATTTTCTTTAAGCTCACTCAACGCAGCATTCCAACACAACAACAACAAAATAATTTGATGTCGTTATGTGCAGGCAATAATATATCATAACTAGTTATTTTTCCAGGAAAAATTTACAACTGAAGCTAGTACAAAAATATTGTTTATATCTAACAGTAATTAGACGATAAAAAAAAACCTACATATGTAAAGTACGTAGGTGTGATTGATTGATACATATAATAGATATCTAAGAGCTTAAAGTTAAAATAATAATTAATTTATATGTGAATATCAGTGCGATGTTTGATGGTGGCCATACGTTTCACGAAATCTCTTCTGTATCAACTGGTATGCGTTGTAGACCCTAAAAGTGATTTCAAAAAGAGAAAGAAACTGGATGTTAAGCCAAAGCAAATAAAAATTTTGCGAATGAACAGTGTGAGAGAAGGAGTTATAGTGAAAGCAGTAGCAATGAATATTATCGTAAGTAGCAGAGGAAAAATGATAATTTTTCATTAAACGTGTGTTCGTGGAAAAGAGGAAATTATTATATGGCACTTACTTCTCTTTTGCCGCTTTGAAAGACTTCTTGCGCGGTTTCTTATCGACGGTGTCTGTGCCGATTTCATTGTTGGGCAGGTCATTTGGCGAAATCATCGTCAAATTATCTGAAATAGAAATTTAATAATAATTTAAATTAAAGAAATTTAATGTTTAACTATCGCACTTACCTGGATGGCAGAAGAAGGCAATAGAGTGTCGGCCACGCGAACGTATATGCTGTTGCTCTGGGATGACAACACGATGTGGCTATAAATAGTTAATAAATATTTTTATTAAAATAAAACAAAAGAAAACAGAAAAATAAATTAAAAAAATATAATATGGAAAAAAAATAATAAATTAAAAACTAAAAGTAAAATGAAATAAATTAAAAACAATTAAATGCAAACATATAACAACGAAATAAAATAAAATAAAATAAAATTAGTTGATATAAATTAAATTAATTCAAACAAAACAAAATACAGAAAAAACTAACTAAAACAAATAAAATTAAAAAATATGGAAGCAAGTACAATTAAATAAAGTAAAAGATACTAGATTCAAATAAAATAAAATTAAATATATTAAATTAAATGGCTTAAATTAAATTAATTCAAATAAATTTAAATATGTTATATAAATTAAAAAAGTGAATAAAATAAAACGAAACCAAATTAAATTAAATTAAATAAAAAAATTAATTAAATAAATATATTTCAGAGTAAATTAACTTAAGTGTAAATATGTATAATTAAATCCAGTAAATTAATAAAAAACCGAAACGAATAATAAAATAAAAGGTTACCTACAATATACAATAACATAATGAAGTTGAATAAAATTAAATAAAAAAAATTAAATTAGACTAAAAAAATTAAGTATAATTAAACAAAATGAAATACAGTAAAAAATCAATTGAAATTAAATAAAATGACAGCAAGTACAATTAAATCAAATAATCACTAATAAATTAAAATAAAATTAAATGTACTAATTGAAACAACAAAAAAATTATATTATTTTAAATAAATTAAACAAAATAAATTAAATTAAATTAAAATATTTTAAAGTAAATTAATTAAAATATAATTACGTAAAATCAAATCACATGAAATAAAACAAAAACGAAACAAATAATAAAATAAAATATGAAATTAAAATATAATATAACGAAGTTAAATTAAATTAAAAAAAAAATAAAAATAATTTTAGATTAAATTAAACTAAATTTAATAAAACAAAAGAAAATACAGTAAAAATTATGTTAATCAAATTCAAATAAAATTAAATAAAATGATAGCAAGTACAATTAAAATAAATAAAAGAAAATAAGTTAAAATAAAAAAAATTAATTTATATTAAATAATTGAAATAAAAATAAATTAAACTATTTAATCTTACATAAAAAATTTAAACCAAAAAGAAATTAAACCAAAATAAATTTAAGCAAAATAAAACAAAATTGAAAGAAAATTAAATGAAATGATCTAAAACTCATTAAATAAAACAAATTAAATAGAATCAAATGAAACGGTAAAAAATATAAACGAACAAAAACAACATAAAATAAATAAAAAATTTAAAATAAATAAAACTCCAATTAAATTAAAATAAGGCAACCAACGCCACCTACCAAAGCCGGATAACGTTCTCTCGTCCATATCGACAGAATTTCACCACAGTTTATCAGTATGGCACCGGGTAAATGACCAACACGTTGCCATTTTTCACTACCCGGCAATTTTACTTCCAGACCACCTTCCGAATCCTGAGCCAACAATGTAAATGTGCCATAATCTGTATGTGCACCACAACGTATCATCTCACCGTTAGGCAACTGACGTTCGGTGGTGCCATTAAGCTCATCCTTACCATCCAATTCATTGATTTCATCACGCGGATTTGTTTCTGGACGAAAATCTGGCTTATCCGATAAACAACGTTGATAACTGTATATACAACTGCCTTTAATAAAATCATTCTTCTCATCCGTATCCTCAATTATGGGTGGGTAGTACAGTAGACGTAGCGTAGATTCGTTATCATGATCACCAGATAACATGTGTGAATGTTTTTCAAGGAAAAATGATTGTGGTATGTCTAGAGAAACGGCCAAGGCTTGCAGAATGAAACGTGAAAGAGCTTTGAAATCTTGTGCCAAAGAGGATATATGTTCTGCAAAACCGGGTAGTGGCTCCTCAGGTAGATTTTTCGCATTTAGCGTGCAAATATTGAAAGCATGACGAAGTTCCGGTGTTTTGCCATTGAAACGTTCAACACCAGGCCGTACGTAACCGTGATTATCATCACCGGTGCGTATGTAATGTTCACGCACGTCACTGGGTAGATCTACAAAGTCATCAAGATGATCCCAAGCGGTTTTCAGCTAGAAGATTCAATAAATAAAAAAATAAAAAAAAAAACGAAATAACATAAATTCATGGGAAACTTATATCACAGTAAATGATAATTAGGTTGAGCACTACATACCTTTTCATCGGAAATGCCATGATTTACGAGCAAACATAGACCCTTCTCGTTCAAGCATTTCTGCAGCTGAAGACCAACACGATTCACAACCGAACGCACAGGCGTTTCTTCAGTCCCTGTGGAAGAGTAAGCATTCCAGAATTTTATTATGTTATTAAAAAATAAATTTTATTTCAAAGCATTGTGGATTTATGAAATGGTAATTAGTAGTGAAATTATCGCTGTAATAAAAAAAAGCGAGTGAAGAGAGAAGTCAGTAGTTAACAGCTTAAGCTAAAGCAATAACAAAGAAAAAAATGGTAAAATAATTGAATATTTGCCACTTGACTATAATTGCTGAACAGGTGAATATAATATGATAATTGGCTTCCATCAAACAATTAAATTAATAATATATCAATTCAATACTGACTGTTAAAAAATTATTTTATTATAAGTTAAAATTTTACCATAACCTCTATATATCGCTTATATTCACACATTTAAACAAATATATTAAAAAAATTTAAAAAAATTGTATGACAAAAATGTAATTATGTAAAAAATGTTCAGCAACATATTATATTCAGCCTCATTTATTAGTCGTAGTTATTTTTGCCTAGCAATACTGTATATATAATACATACTGACATTTCTTGCTATAAAAAAATTTGATCTGCACATTTTTTCCTAGCAAATAATTGGCGTTAACAATTGAAATAAATGAACAAAAAGCAATGACATGCGATTTTGAAATGAAAACAAATGCCAATAGATTGTGATAAGCCAGCTGTGATGAATTACGAATTATTAGTTATGAGCGATTAACCATTTGGTTTAAAAATCTACTGAAATATATATACTCGTATATTAGCAGAAGTAAGACAGTAATATAAATATATATTTATATTAGAGTTCTAAATTGAATGAATATTTTATATAAATATATATAAATAATATATAAACATAAATATAAATATAAATATAAATATAAATATAAATATAAATATAAATATAAATATAAATATAAATATAAATATAAATATAAATATAAATATAAATATAAATATAAATATAAATATATTAAAATTTAATCTAGGATTAATTTTGAAACCATTTCAAATTCAAAAATTTCTCATTGTATCATGTAGCATAATTTATATATTGTTTTAAAGTCATTTAATCATTACGTGTCATATAACGGTAATTACAGTTATATTTGGCGTATTTTTTGCAATAAATTGAATTGGAAAATGCCTTTTTAATTACTTTATTAATATAATAACGGACGTTTTATTAATATACCATAACAAAAATGTAGAGTTTTTCAATAGCAACAAATATTGTATATATACTCGTACATGCGTGCATATGTATGTGAGTGGTATATAACCTTTACAAAAGTTAGCATTCAGTTCGACAACCACAACCAAAAACCTTTACCAACAGACATGCGAACATATGTAATTGCGGCCGACAAAGGCCATGACAAATATTGAAAATGTTAACAATGCAGAGGAAAATAATCAAACAATCGATTTTCAACAACTTTCGAAGTAATCAATGACGATTTTGTATTGTACGGCGCTACCTTTGAATGCCAGGTCATGTACGATATGTAAAGAGCGCATATATTGTACTATATACCTATATAGTACATATGTGTATGTACATTTATATAAGCGTACATATGTTAGTATGTACATACGTGTATGTTGACTAACTGTTCAAATGTTTGGTATATTTTATTTGTTTTTGTTCTTTCTGCACAATTCAAATGCCTCAAGTACATATTTACAATCGTTGTTAGCACACAATAAAATTTAACTATTGGATTTTTACAATTTTACTTCAACCACACGAATGTATGGCTGAAGTGCTTGTGCTGGCTACTGCCATCAACAGCCCAGTAAAACTAGCGATATGAGATTTACTAATAGAGTTTTTGGATTGACAAACGACCACCGAACGGCATGTTTGATAGGCATTTAAATGCTGAAAGCCGACGTAAGAAGTATGCACTTGAAAGGCGTTCAAAAAGTCTGAGTTTCTTAGCCTATTTTTTTGTGTTAATTATCTATAAAAATTGTGATTTCTTTCACATGAAATTAGTAAAAAAATTTTGAAAGTAACTTTTTAAATATTTCGAGCCTACTATTGGCACAACAGTGCGTATGCGTAACCTCTAAAATTTTACTTGTAAAATGAGGCATTAATTTTAAATAATTTTGAAATGGCTCTTTATGCTCGATAGATCACTCTTATAAAGCATTTAGTGATCTAGTCAAATATAGACCTTTCTCTGAAATAACAGCCGCAGCTATTTATATTTATTTTTCTAAATATATTGATCCTTGGGTTGCAGCTGCGAGACGGCTACTTAACATCGCCATTTCTGCTAGTTAATCATGAGATGTTCGAACCCTGTGCGCGAGAGGTCGGTTGTAAAGTTGACTGCATGACACTTTTTGTCCATCCTATTGAAACCACATTTTACGTTCCAAAAAAAATGTTGCCTCGTATGAAAGTAAACACTCCCCATGAGGTTTGACTTTTTTGTGTTTTGTCTTAAAAAAAGGCGGGGAGTCTCGAAGTAAATCACAATTTTGGAGTTGGGTTCAGTTTATGCGGCTGTAGGTTAGTGACCAACGCAATTAGACCTAAAGGCCTATTGTAATACCAATTTGACGCTTCTGTCTTTACCTACTCAAATTGAGCTAACTCAGCGAGCTGTCAAGGCTGGACAGTGATAGTGATAGTGTGCAATAGTATCTTCCTTCGCTCGAACCAGTCTAGAAGAATAAGATGTTTTGATATTTTAGCGCCCAATTTTGGCCTCAGCATTTTAGACATGTGGCACGTGATCTCATGCAACCATCTAGAGACTGCTTCTTTTGCAAATACCAGTTTAAGCATATACTTTGCCGTGAACATAGGTAAACCTGCATCGTGTGCATGTTTTATTGTGGATAGAAGAGTTTCTTCTCCCATTAGTTTGTCTGACATGCAATTGCTTGGAATATGCCGGTGTTCGGGTACCCAGACCACGGCAGTGTTGCATTTCATCGCAAGTTTGTTCAGATTGCTTTAACAATTTATAATTTATGTGTGTACAATGTAATTGTTGTAAAGATCTAATGACAGCTTGACTGTTGGTATATGTCGTAACTGATTGTCATGCTGCTGTAGATTTGAGCAGCTATTCGGTGGCTTCGGTGGGAGACGTTGCAGTGATCTGGTAATATTATGATCATATTTATTAAGAGCATCGGATAATGAATTTCAAAATCCACGTATTCAACGAATTTTTAACCGTCTGTAGAGATGGCTATGGCTACGGTGTCCCTTTCAATAGAAAAATAATTATAAAAGGCTCAATTTTTCTTCTCCTCAAGAATAACCAAAATAAATATTATTAAAAATTTAATTAAATTCGGATCAAATGTATGCAAAAAGAAAAGAAAATAATATAAAAAAGGAATAAGTGAAATTATAATATAATTTTAGATGCAAATAAGCACAAAGTCAGGGCAGCAATTTCATAATGTCATGTAAAGTTATTAAATTCGGCACACTTGATCAATATTTAATGAAGTAATAATTTAAATAATACCGTAATTCGTAACACTCCGTTACTGACACTTTTGTATTTCGTATTTGTCCTAATTTTTCCCGGTGAATGTGTTAATGAACTTGAAATACAATTTCGGTATAGTTTTCCGACTTTTTGTTATTGGGCGATGTGTTTTACATATTTTTGCTTATTTTATTTTTTATTTTTCCTAAAGTATTATTCAATTTTATTGGCTTGCGCTGGTTTAAAGTTTATTTTAATTTTTTTGTTTTTTTTTTCTAGCTGTTTGCCTATCTATTTAGCTTATTCATTTATTTATTTACCTTTTCCGAAATCACAGCGCCTAAGTTGTTGCTAAGGATTGGCTAACCGATGATAAGATTTGTAGCCACACCGCTTTTTTTTTTATTGTTGAGTTTCGAATGCAATAAAAATCACAGAACACAGATATTTTTTTATTTTCTGTCATGAGTTGGCAACAGTTGACTGCCATAATATTCTAAAATTCTATTTTACACACGCATAACTAGCATAGTTAAAAATAAATAGGGTTTCATATAATAAAATAAATATATTTTAAGAAAGGGTAAACTTTACGGTAAACGGTTATGGTTCAGTTGCCAGGATTGCAACACCAGGGTTATCGAATCTCAAGTTATAAAAGGCGACCCTCATTTCCAACAACCTACAGTTTATTCCAAGCCACGTCCGAACGACTGAGGGACTTATATCTCATATCAGAAACACACGGGGAGTGCTCACCACAATTTAGAAAAATTAATTTTCTATTATTATTTTTATTAAATTTTTACAAAGCATTTTCGAAAACTCTGTCATTGATCATATTTCAAGAATTTCTTTATATGTATGTATTTAAACGTTCTTTCTACATTTTGGCTTTACTTAAGAAATTTTCTTCTCATTAGAGTTCATTACTAACATTATTAGCTCATTATTAGTCCGACGCGTTGAACATTATATAAAATTGTTGTAATTATTATTGCAAATATTCTATTTAGAAGCAATATTTAGCGTAGATAATTGAACAGTTAATTAATTATTGCAGTAAATTATTTAGCAAAACATTTTTGAATGCGAAAGGAAAATTTTCTGTTCCAAAATACATACAAATATTCATATTTGAGAACTCGAAAACTTTTCATTTTCTTAGTACGCGTCGTAAATGAGAAAAAATATTGAGAGTGCTTGAAAAATAAACAAATATGTATGTATATGCATACGAAAGTTTTCAAACATAGATAATGAACAGAGGAGAAATGCTCAACTAACGAAAGGATGTCTTTTCGACTAGTTAATATGAAAAATAAACTTCACGAAATAATTTTGTTTCATTTCGGTGCAACGTTTTTGAAACGATATGAAATTGTTTATGTCGAAACTGTTAACAGCACACTTCAATTTTAACGTTTAACATGCTCTGTTAACAATTTTACATAATCTGTTAACGATTTTACATAATCTGTTGATGATTTAATATTAATGACAGCATGTTGTTTCAGGTAAAAACCAAATATAGATTTATTTTTATAACTGCCTTAACGA